AATAAGCAGGAAAATCAGCTAACTTAACAGCATATTACGTAATGCTTGAAACTTCTATTATTTCCAGAAAAAATATTTAAATTTATAAAATTGGTTGTAAGTGGAAAAGTGCAGATCTCATGGTAGTCGGGACACAAGTAAGATGTACTAGATCGTTGGCATTGGATACTTGAGGGAAGCTTTGTGACTGCACAAACTTCTACCCAGTTCAATTTTGGTTCCCTACTTTCTATTTTTGGTGAAGGGAGAGCCGCATACAAAGTTGATGTTCCTACTTGGATCTACGTGGATGAAGGTGCGCCATAATTTTCATGTTTTTCATTCAAAATCCAAAAGATCCAGCATGCAACCAGTCAACCAGAGCTGAAGTCGACATCAAGCGGTTGAAGCTGAAAGAAGTGGATGAGGTTAGGCCCTATGAAAGGAGTTCCTCATCAAGTGAAAGGGCCTTGGAGACAGAGACAAAGTGAGAGAAGGAGGCATACTTGGAGCAGTTTAAGAAAAAGATTGAAGACTTGAAGAAGACGTAGTCATAGTGAGCGCTGGCATCTTAAGTGGGGAGTATGTTAGGGGTCGCCTTGTAATGCCGCACACCATGCTTGTCCAAGTCATTAGTCAAGCCCATAGCCGCTTGATTGTGTGTGGGATGGGAGTATTTTGGTAGTTAGCAAAATATTTTATTTTCTTGTATTTGGTCATTATAAGTTAACTCTTCAAGCATTCTGATGTTTCCTTCGGTAACTTATGAAAATGCTCATCATGTATGGGTAAGCATGCTTGCCATCAATATAAGAGAAGCATTATACACTCACTCATTGCCTTGTGTGATGCACTCGCTATTGTGCTGCTTGCTTGGTGCTTGTATAATATTAATATCGGGCGCAAAGTGGTTTCTTTAATTTCCGACCTTCAGTAATCGGTTCTTTAATTTCCGACCTTCATTAATCGGTTTGTAGCTCAAGTGATCTTTAGAGTATTTAACCATGCACAATGTACTATGTTGGATTCCTCCCTCCAATATTGTTTTTATCAAAAAAAACTTTCCAGACCTTCATCCATGTTGGGCTAGCAGGATCCACTTCAGTCACTCAATTCCACGTGTCAGGATAATACCGAATTTGGACGTATCGTATGTCCAGTGCAGTACACGCAATCCTTTTCTCCCAAAAGAAAAGCGACACCATTATTACACGAATCTCCACGCAAGCGTTATTATACACTTCAAAAAGCCCAGATACAGGAACAAAATAAAAAATCTCCCGCCATACCTAAAACATTTGTAAACCCTCAAAAACCAGGAATCTCATCGAATTTTGATCCGGGTTTAAGATTTGGATCGGAAAAATGGAGCTGACGGTGGTAGATCTGAGCTTGTACTTGGGATCGAAGGGCGAAGTGAAGGAGTTGTGCGGCGAGGTGAGCCGGAGTCTGAGAGAAACAGGTGCTCTGTTGGTCAAGGACCCCAGATATACGGCCGAGGACAACGATCGCTTCCTCGGTATGATGGAGAGGTACTTCGATAGACCGCCAGAATTCAAGCGACTCCAGGAGAGGCCCCAATTGCATTACCAGGTGGGTTCTGTTTGGTTCCCGAGAAAATGAAAAACTGTTGCCTAGATATCAGAAAAATGAAAAATTGAATTTCGTTATAAAAAAAGAATTGAAATTTGAAGCCCAATTCTTTGATTACTGATTGGTGGCTTATCTGGGTTCTCTTTTTATTTTAATTGTCTATTTCTTTTGATTTGTGGTGGGAATTGGATTGTTGTTGTTCAAAACTTGAAGTGGGGATAAGATTACAGGTTGGGGTGACACCAGAGGGTGTGGAAGTGCCAAGAAGCCTTGTTGATGAAGAAATGCAGGAGAAATTGAAAGAAATGCCCAAAGAGTTCCAGCCATCCATTCCCAAGGGGGCAGATCGCAAATGGCGATACATGTGGAGAGTGGGTCCTCGACCCTCAGAAACCCGCTTTCAGGTCTCATTCTTTGTTTTCCTTTAGATATTCACTTTGCACTCATATGTATTGACTGTTTTAATGAAATGCTATTATTCTACTTGCCATGATGATGATGATTATGTTATTCTTGTTTTCTAGGAACTTAACGCAGAGCCGGTCGTACCCGAGGGGTTTCCTGAATGGAAAGATACCATGGATTCATGGGGTTACAAGATGATATCCGCAATAGAGGTGAGCCATTAATTTGATTTTTCAGCTTGCTCATACCACTTTCTTGTTTTGCATATTATCTAATATTCTTCATGTAATTTATCCCTCTCTTTCTTTTCAGGCTGTTGCTGAAATGGCTGCCGTTGGGTTTGGCTTGCCAAAGGATGCATTCACATCCCTTATGAAGCAGGTGACCAATGATTGCGAAGTGAAACTTACATTCATGTCTCTATGACTTTCCGCCACTAGTGGTGGGGCAGCGGTATTGAAATCAAATAATGGAATCATGATTACTGGTTGCCTACTCTGACAGTAGTTGCCTATATCCATCAGTTTCCATTGCATCTTCTATATCCATCACTTTTCTTATCTTTAGCCACTGTGACCACCTGTGTCCCCAAATTTGTGTGGCATTCTGTTGAATACCTCTTGTATTGCTCCATAATGCCACTATTATTTTATTTTATTACACTTCTATATTTTGTCTTTTTTTCTTACAAAGATGAATTTGGGCTGGGCATATTCTTCAACCACTTTATAGTCTTATTAAATACATTGGCTTATGATCGGATATAGAGCATGTATTTTGTCTCCATGCTGCTTTTTCGACAATCACCAACTTCTGAATTGAGTATCTAGAATCTCTTCCTTTCCATTTGCCAATTTCCTGGCTGAGTTCATGCGATATATGCTAAGTACCCTTTCTTTGTGAACCCAGGGACCACATCTTCTAGCTCCAACAGGAAGTGACCTTCGGCGTTACGGCCAGGAGGGTACTGTGTTTGCAGGATATCACTACGACCTGAACTTTCTAACCATTCATGGCAGAAGTAGATTTCCAGGTCTGAATATCTGGCTAAGAAATGGGCAAAAAGTTGAAGTGAAGGTTCCTGTAGGATGTCTTCTCGTTCATGCTGGGAAGCAGGTAAGAGTATTTTTGACCATCGAGCTAAGTAGTTATCCAATAGTTTACAAGCTAGTTGACTCCCTGGATATGGTGGCTTTCATGGGAAATCAATTTGGATTTCAGTTGCATCAATTAAATAACACATTATACACGTTCTTTAGTGCCTAACTTATGAAAAGACAAAAATTTAAACTTATATTCTAACTATAGCAATAATGCCATGTGCAAGATCTATCTGATTATACTTCAAAATGGACAGGGAGAGGGGGAGGGCTTTTTGATTAGTAGTACAGATAGGGTTTATGCACATCTTTTGGTCAAAAAATAAAATACAACACATGCAAAACATTTGATTAGTTGTGTTGTGCTTACCAACCCCTCCCCCCCCAAAAAAAAAGTGCTAAAAAGAAAACAAATATTAGGCGTGTTTATTTTTAATTCAAGTTCTCTCTTTGATTGGAATGGCTGTTTTTAGGTTGGTTGGCTATTACATGTGTTGTATTTTAAATCTTTAAGCTAATTGTATTCCATTCACCACAAATTTTCATGTGCAGATAGAGTGGTTGACTGCAGGAGATTGCATAGCTGGAATGCATGAAGTTGTTGTAACAAACAGGACAGTTGACGCAATGAAACTAGCAATGGAGCAACGTCGCTCACTTTGGAGAGTATCTTCTACAGTGAGTGAAGCTAGTCATATTGTTGTCATTGTTACTGTTTCGTTCTTCTACTTTTAGTTGGTATTTTAAACGAGATTTATATCAATAATATTTCTCGATGCATCATGTACTTATATGTGACATTTCTCGTGATGTAGTTGTTTGCGCACATAGCATCTGATGCTGTGTTAAAGCCCTTAGGTCGCTTTGTAGAATCCTCGCTTGCCAGTAAATATCCGGCGATTTATGCAGGAGAGTTTGTTGAGCAGGAGCTTGCAGTAATCAATCTCAAAGGAAACAAAGGAGAACTTTGATAACCTGTAATATGTGAAAATCCTAACTTGTTATGTCAATGATATGAAAAGCATTTGAAGAGGCCTTTGGGAATGAGATGAGTTGTAATAAAGAAGGTTGGGATCGATGATTATTAACTGTGGCCTGGCCACACACATGAGGAAAGATTGGAGAATTATATTGTCTCATTTACTGACTTTCTGTTTTTCCTCCAGCAAGAAAATTTGTACAATTTCTTTGGATTCCCAAATCGAATATATATATATCTCTGATTTGTTAGTCATGCTTAACTATTTGTTTTGGTACATTGTGCTCGCATATTTTGATTTTCACCAAAAGTTGTCAAATGTGCTCGAAAGCAATTTCCTCGAGAATCATGCATTCAATTGAACACGGAAATTATCTTCTTGGATTTGCTCCTAACTGATTTCATTTTCGTCCTTGTAGTTTAACACTTCATAATCGAATATACTTTTCATAGCAATTTCAGATTGGTCTAAATCACATAATCTTAAATACTAACTTGGAGCTAATTATCCGATATTAATATTTTGGGTGGTCACGCTTTGGGATCTTGTAACTGAAGCGCATTGTTTTTGGCCTCTACATATGCAAACAATGAGAACGTAGGTGCCTTCGATTCATTTTAACTGGAGCTTCTTTGCTAATGCATTTGGAAAATGCAAAGAGTCATGAAATTTGAGTTGAACAACTGCTCCACCAGCACACCAAATGCATTTTTGTCTGGTTTTTATGCGCATATCCTCAGTGGCAGAGCTGGCGACAATGGCATCATATAGGTGTGACCTTTGGGTAGGATGTACCTGCATGATGGCATGACCCTCATCATAATGTCCTATATATTCGAATTCGGGACGTCTTCTCTGTAATTAATCTCAGCTCAAATTAATTAAGATGAGGCTAATTACTATGACTCTTCCAGTTTTGGTGGTTATGTTAGTTTTGACAGGTTTGGTGGATCAAGGGGAGGGCACCATGTGTGCAAGCACCTTCTTCTCATCTATTGTTCAGCTAATACCTTGCAGAGCAGCAGTTGTTCCTTTTAGCCCCATCCCACCAAGTGAGACTTGCTGCAATGCCCTCAAAGCTCTTGGCCAGCCTTGCCTATGTGTGCTTGTCAATGGCCCTCCGATTTCTGGCGTCGATCGTACCATGGCAATGCAGCTCCCTGAGAAGTGCACTGTCAACTTTGAACCATGTACTCTCTAGCTCCTCTCTGTTACTTAACACAATAGTGCTAAAAAAAAATAGATTATTATAAATAAACCCAATCCTAGACATGTATTTATAAAAAAACCCACACACTATTTAAACATAGAAACACACCCAAAATCAACCCCAAAATCAACAATTGTATATTTTTTGAGTGTGTTTATAAATGGGTTTTGAGTGTGTGTAATGATGGGTAATGATGGGTTTTGGGTGTGTTTATAAAGTGTTTTGGGTGTTGGGTTTTTTTATAATTTCAACCCCCATTTTGGGTGTTTTAGTGAAACTCCCAAAAAAAAATTGGTTCCTAAATTAAGAGATTTATTTCATAGTCTATTAGGACTCTATTTCTTTCATTTTGTTAAGATATTGTGTAATTAGGATTTTATTTTGTTTCCTAGTTTAACCCTACTAGGGTTACACATTTGTATTATAAATACCTCATTTTGAAGAATGAAATACAGCCTAAAAATATTCTACTCATATTGTTTGACTTAAGATGCTGTATTTTTAGAACTTGAGATTATGCAGTGGACCACTTAGGTTTTAATTTGATTTCTGATGTAATAGATTACTAGTTTATTTTAGTAACTAAGTATGTATTATTTACTTGATTAAAGAAAAAAAAAACAAATGATTCTCCCTTGGCGGGCTTATAAAATGGGTTATAAAATTGACATCAATCTCAGCCAACACTGGCAGGCTTGACTAAAATGGTTCTGTATCCAATTCTTATTAAGTTAGTATGTAACTATCCAAGGATTACATGATAGTGATGTTCCTCTTGCAAAATTTATGTTGTGACAAGAAGACAAATTGCTCACGTTGTTATAAATCTGGGACCACATGTTCTCATCCGAGTCAAATGGATCAACATTCTTAATTATATATTAACAACTCGACAAGGTTTGCTGCCCACACTGATCAACTAAACCTAAAGTCTTAATTGAACATGATTGACCATGATGTAATAGTATGGCCTACGAATTAACGACATTATCTATCCTAAAAAATCAGAATTCAGTGACTTTTGTCCAGTGATACAATCAGTGCTCTGCTCTGAATCTAATAATCTATTTGCTCAAACATGTTGGAAGCCATGAGCACCATGACTGATTTCCAGTACTACTTCATCTGCTTGATCCTCTGCTTCCTCTCCACCATCTTGATCAAATCCTTCTTCAACAAACCCATCAAGCCAATCACCACTCTCTGCCTCCCTCCTAGTCCACCGGCTTTGCCGGTCATTGGTCACCTTCACCTCCTCTCCTCCTCCTTGTCCAAGTCCTTGCACAACCTCTCCACCAAGTATGGTCCTCTCCTCCTAGTCCGGTTCGGGGCTTCTCGGATGCTAGTGGTTTCGTCAGCCTCCATGGCTACTGAAATCTTCAAAACTCACGATCTCACTTTTGCTTCTCGTCCCTCATTTGCTTTTGCTGACGAGTTGCCGTACGGAAACTTGGGATTCTTTGCCACCCCATATGGTGAGTATTGGAGGTTCATGAAGAAGCTTTGCATGACAGAACTGCTCTCACCCAAGCAAATAGAAAGGTCACGGGCCATTCGACACGGAGAGGTTGCAAAGTTTTTGAGGAAAATGTTGGAGAGTGCTACGAGGAAAGAGATGGTTGATGTGGGTGCTGAGCTGATGAG